CATCAACCACATCTCTGGGCAACCTGTGCCAGTGCCTCACCACGCTCACTGTGAAAGACTTTTTCCTTAGATCCAGCCTAAATCTCTTCACACTTGAAGCCATTTCCCCTTGTTCTGCCACCACAGACCCTGCTCAAGGATCTGTCCCCTCCTTTCCTGCAGCTCCTTGTTAGATACAGAGCACAAGTCAAGCAGGCATAAGTCATCTCAAAGGAGCTGATAAATGGGAGGAGAACAACTTCAGACAGGCAAAGAATGATAGGATGTGGGGAAATGGCTGTAAACTATAAAAGGGGAGATTGGGGTCAGACATGAAGGGAAATCCTTTCCCCAGAGGTGGTGCAGCCCTGGCACTGCTGCCCAGAGCTGTGGGTGCCCCATCCCTAAAGGTGCCTGAGGCTGTGGATGGGGCCCTGGGCAACCTGAGCTGGGGATGGGCACCACGGTGGGGCTGGGAGGCCCCTTGCAGCCCAATCACTCAATGATTCTAAGATATCTCCAGTCCTGAGATGTCCCCTAATTATTGCCATTGTGTTGCCTGCTTCGTCACACACAGATTTGCAGAGATGATGCAACCTCCAGTCAGCAAGATTTCCCTTCCTTCTGCCTCACTTTGCAGTGTGAGGTGCTGCAAGCCACTCCCAGCACTCATAGCCTGTTGCTACAGACAGCACCTGTGAACCCGCAACACCACACCAGGCTCTGACAAGCTCTGACCTCAGCCAATATCATCCACAGCAAACTTCCCCTGTAGGCTCAGCCAGGCCCAAATCCCACAAGGCGGTGCCACGGAACCACTTCTCAAACCCAGAAACGTGCAGCCCAGAGCCCTGATCACAGAACAGCCTCTTCACTGCTGCAGCCACAGTGTCCAGACCTGACCTAAACAACAGGGAAACGGGATAAGCAGAAAGATAACAACAGCACCAGATCACCGGCAATGAATCCCGCACTACAGTGGTAGGCAGACAAGAAAATGGGTAAGAAAATCCCTTTGTGGGCCTGCAGGCATTCAAGGCCAGGCTGGATGTGGCTCTGGGCAGCCTGGTCTGCTGGTTGGCGACCCTGCACATAGCAGGGGGTTGGAATGAGATGATCATCCTGCTTTGGCAGGGAGACTGGACTCAGTGATCTCTGGAAGTCCCTTCCAACCCTCATGATTCTGTGATTCTGTGATCACTGTGGTCCTTTTCAACCCAGGCCATTCTATGATCACTGCGTTCCTTTTCAACCCAGGCCGTTCTATGATTCTATGATCACTGTGTTCCTTTTCAGGCCATCCTATGATTCTATGCAGCATTAAAACACTCTTGTGAAGTAAAAGCTAATCATCACCCCGTTATTATTACCCTGGTATCCATATTCTTTCCGGGAAGATGCCTGGTCTGACTCGACAGGACAGAACGCAGTGCACGTTGGACTTCAGTCTGTAGCAGATGCCATCTTCAGACCTCGCAGAGCCGAGCAAATCCCCACCGATGGGCTGCACTCCCCATTCATTCCTTCAGAAGCTTCGGAAGCACAGAACGGCCCCATCCTTTGGGGATCAGCAGCAGCAGCAGCAGCAGCAGCAGCTCTGGGACACCTCTCTCCCCGCAGGGATAAAAGGGAAACGGGAACCCCGCCGCAGCGCTGCCGGTTCAGCCCTCAGCTCCGTTCCCCCCTCACGTCCCCCGGCCCTCAGCGCGGCCCAGCCGCCTCCCGTTCAGCTCCCCGCATCCCCTTAGGCCCACCGTTCCCTCCTCGCACCTCCATGGCCTGGCCCAGCTCCAGATCGAAAGTGACCACGCAGACACAATCCAACCAAGCGGAGAAACGGGACCAAGGCAGAGGCGAAGCGGCTGCGGGTCGGCGGGGCCGGGGTTCGGCCCGGCACAGCGCGTCCATGGCAGCGCCCGCTCCGCCCGGCCCGGCCCGGCCCGGCCCCCAAGGCTCCGCCCCGCCCCGCCGCGCTGCGCCCCCTTGCGGTTTGGAGGACTCACCCACAGCCCGGCCCATCCGCGCCTACCATAGAGACGGCTCGGAGGAGCAGAGCGGCCCGCAACGGGGTGTCATGGCGGTTGTTACCATGGAGACGGGCTGCTGCCCTGCGGCCTGCCCCGCTCCCTGGGCTGGGCAAGATGGGAACTGCTGGAGAGAGATCAGAGAATCATAGAATGGCCTGGGTTGAAAAGGACAACAATGATCATCCAGTTTCAACCCCCCTGCTATGTGCAGAGTGGTCAACCAGCACACCAGGCTGCCTAGAGCCACATCCAGCCTGGCCCTGAATGCCTGCAGGGATGGAGCATCCACAACCTCCTTGGGCAACCTGTTCCAACTCTCTGAGTGAAAAAGTTCCTCCTAATATCCAAACAACCTCCTCCCGTCTCAGTTTAAAACCATTCCCCATTGTCCAATCACTATCCACACTCATAAACAGCCGTTCCCCCTCCTGTCTATAAGCTCCCTTCAAGTATTGGAAAGCCACCAAGTCTCCTCAGATCCTCCTCTTTTCCAAGCTAAAATATCCCAGTCCTTGCCTGTCATGCATTTATGGCTGTTGGACCTCACCTTTATGATGACATGACACAGAGGGGTCACACAGAGGGTGGTGAGGCACTGGAACAGGTTGCCCAAGGAGGTTGTGGATGCTCCATCCCTGCAGGCATTCAAGGCCAGGCTGGATGTGGCTCTGGGCAGCCTGGTCTGCTGGTTGGTGACCCTGCACACAGCAGGGGATTGAAACAAGATGATTATTGTGGTCCTTTTCAACCCAGGCCATTCTTTGATTGTGTGATTCTATAACAAGAGAGCTTGGATGAATGCAGGCTCTGTGCCGACTGTCCGTTCCTCTTTGGACGAAGGGTGCATTTTCACTATTAATTCAAGCCTTCCAGCTGTTGTTTTTTTACACTTCTCAGGTATTGTCAGTACTTTGGTTACCCTTTTATTCACAGTACGTTTTTTTTCTGCTTGGCAAACTGGGAGCAACACGTGTGAAATCAGCTCTGTGCTGCTTGGAAAGAAGTTCCTGGCTGGGTGCAGAACTCTGCGTCATGGGGTGTCTTTGAAAGGGTAGATAACAGCAGGATGAAGGGGAAATGGTTTGAAATTGAAGGAAAGAAGATTGAGGTTGGATGTCAGGGGGAAGTTCTGTACAGAGAGAATGGTGAGGTGCTGGAACAGCTGGCCAGAGAGGCTGTGGATGCCCCATCCATCCCTGGAGGTGTTCAAGGTCAGGTTGGATGGGGCCCTGGGCAGCCTGGGCTGCTGTGAAATGTGGAGGTTGGTGGCCCTGCCTGTGCTGGGGGGGTTGGAGCTTCGTGATCCTTGAGGTCCCTTCCAACCCAAGCCATTCTGTGATTCTGTGATATCTGAGGGAAGGGCTGGCGTTTGATCCCTGCTTCGATATCCGCTGCCCATGTGCACAAACTGAGTATTTTGGCTTTGATGTTGTCTAAACACGGAGCTTTTGTAAGAAATTTCCTCAGCTCGTCTTGAAACAAAAAAACACAGAGGACTTGAAATGTGCTTCTGGCTCCGCCGCCCTCTGCGAAGCCACAAAGCAGCGTTTGCCCAGCAAAACTGAGCAGCCTCGCAGCGCTGCGCTGCTCTCAGCAAAGCTGCTGTGAATTACAGGCCCGTCATTTCTGGCCTTTTAAGCTCCCTGATGCTGCTGGACCATATTTGGGCAATGAAGGTTGCGCAGAACTTGAGAACTCTGAAGATCTGATCCTCCCTGCAGCCTCAGCCTCGTGTTGTGCTGTGCAGGGCTGGTGTGTGGTTTGTGCACGGCTCCTAAGCAACCTGAGTAAATAGAACGTTTCGCAACCTTCACACTTTCATCTATAATTATCTTTTGCATCAGAGCTCTCAGGAGTGCCGGCCTACCAGATTTTGCAGGATATTTTGCATTTCTGCTTCTATTTGTCTGCCTTTTCTCTTGCACTGCCAGTCAGGGTAATATTCCCCAGACAAAAGCAGAAGCGTAAATACCCCGCAGACCGGAGGAACGTGCAAGGTGCTGTCAGCCAAGAAATGTTGGTGCACCGCTCTTAGTGCTGATTGCTGTTTATATTCTGTGTGCTTCTGAGCTCTGTTATTTGCACAGGGCCTTACAACATGCCCCAGAAGGCAGCCAGATCTCATTGGCAGTGTTTGGAAAGCCTAACGCCCAAATTTACGCCTAGGGGATTCAGAGGGACCTCAACAGACTTGAAAGGTGGGCATGGGTGAATCTAATGAGGTTCAGCACAACAAAGTGTGAGGTTTTGCACTTGGGCTGGAGGAATCGCAGGCATATATACAGACTGAGAGGAGCAGTGCTTGAGAGCGGCCCTGCAGAGAAGGACCTGGGGGTCCTGGTAGGTGGAAAACTGAACAGAAGCCAGCAGTGTGCTCTTACAGGTCAGAAAGCAAATGGTGTCCTGGGCTCCATCAGCAGAGGGGTGGCCAGCAGGGACAGGGAGGGGATTGTCCCTCTCTGCTCTGCCCTCATGAGGCCCCATCTGCAGCACTGCATCCAAGTGTGGAGCCCCCAGTGCAAGAAAGACAGGGAGCTGTTGGAGAGGGTCCAGAGGAGGGCCATGTAGATGATCAGAGGCTGCATCATCTCCCCTACAAAGTCAGGCTGAGGGAGCTGGGCTTGTTCAGCCTGGAGAAAAGAAGGCTGCAGGGTGACCTCATTACAGCCTTCAGTACCAAAAAGGAGCCTACAAACAGGAGGGGAATCAACTCTGTGGAAGGGTTGATAACAGCAGGATGAAGGGGAAATGGTTTGAAATTGAAGGAGGGTAGATTGAGGTTGGATGTCAGGGGGAAGTTCTTTACAGAGAGAGAGTGGTGAGGTGCTGGAACAGCTGGCCAGAGATGCTGTGGATGCCCCATCCATCCCTGGAGGTGTTCAAGGCCAGGTTGGATGCGGCCCTGGGCAGCCTGGGCTGCTATGAAATGTGGAGGTTGGTGGCCCTGCATGTGCTGAGGGGTCGTAGCTTCGTGATCCTTGAGGTCTCTTCTAACCCAAACCATTCTGTGATTCTGTGGTATCTGAGGGAAGGGCTGGCGTTTGATCCCTGCTTTGATATCTGTTGCCCACATGCACAAACTGAGGACGTGCCCCCAAGTATTTTGGCTTTGATGTTGTCTAAACACGGAGCTTTTGCAAGAAATTTCCTCAGCTCGTCTTGGAACAAAAACACGGAGGATTTAAAATGCGCTTCTGGCTCTGCCAGGCCATTCTGTGATTCTATGACTTTTGAAATGCTCAGTACTGAGCCCAGGTGGACATAAAACTACGCAAACAGCAAACTGTTTTTTATTCACAGGTGTTCATGTTTAAAAGCAAATTCAAACGTTTGTAACTGGGTGAAATTACTGTGCTGGTTAAGCACAAAACGCTGAAAATCCTTAGGAATTTTGCCTTAAAAGAGGCACTGAATTTCTGCATACAGTTTTGTTGTACAGAACACTGAATAATCATCAACATCCTTGAGTACCCCCCCCCCAGTCCCTCTTCCCCTCACATCCCCCCCTCAGACTGAGATCCCCTCCAGACCCTCCTCTGTCTCCCCATCCCCTCACCGTCCCTTCAGCCCCTCACCCCCCCCTTCAGGCTGTGAACCCCCCCCCAGGCCCCTCAAGACACCCTCCAAAATCCCCTCACACCCCCTCATCCCCCCTCAAATGGCTCCCCCCATCCCCTCAAGCACCCCTAGAGACATTTCCCCCCCCTTCAACCCCTCAACATCCCCACAGCCCCTCATCCTCCTCCTCAAACTGTGACCCCACCCCCAACACCAAAAGGCCCCTCTCAACCCCTCAATCTCCTCGTGACCCCTTCAAGCTGTGCCCCCCCAAATCCCCTCACAACCCCCCAAAATGTCCTCATGACGCCCTCATGCTGTGCCCTCCCAAAACCCCTCACAACCCCCACTTCCTCAACCTCCCCCCTTAGCCTGTACCCCCAAATCACCTCACAACCCCAAAATCTCCTCATTCCGTGCCCCCTCCCAAATCCCCTCTGCCCCCCCATCTCCTCACACCCCACCCTCATTCTGTACCCCCCAAATCCCCTCAAAACCCCAAAATCTCC